TTCTCCCTTTTTCTACTCATGCTATTTCCCTTTTCTTTCTCCCTCCAATTTTTCTACTCATGCTATTTCCCTTTTCTTCATGTCAACTTGTGCTCCGACAGAAGTATCCATCACACCGTGGGTTGCATGATGCAATATTCGGAGGTGTGGTGGTTTTTTCAAGGTACAATAGCTTTTAAACACAAACTACATCTCTTAAAACTAAAAAATATGTTTTTTACTAAAATAAAATACAAGCTACCTCCCATCCAAACACACAGTGGTGCTAAAAAAGGCACTGTTGTTTATCTTTACTATGTTTTTTACTAAAATAAAACATAAGCTACCCCCATCCAAAGACGGCTGCTAAAAAAGGCACTGTTGTTTATCTTTATTACTATTTTATTGCTGAAAGAACACTTTTCTCCTCCTCACGGCCTCTCAAGTCTCATTCTATCCTTTAATCACGGATTCCCCTCTCTATGCAAGATCTCAGCTTGGGACGCAGGATTGCATATGGACCAGCTTGCGTGGATGGTGGTGTAGTGGTAGAGTTTTTTTAGCCCTTTTAGAGTTGCATTTTCTTTGCTTTCATGACCTAAAAATATAAAATGGGCCTTGGGAGAATTTTAAGGCCCGTCAAGGGTTCTTGGGCCAAATTCTTGTGAAAGGATGCCATACTAACCATAAAAGCACCTTTTATGGGCCCTTGCAACCTGCAAGCATGAACCATTAAAAATGGGAAATTGGTCTCAAGAGAGATAAAGCCCTCCTACATAATGAGTTGAACCCTTGCTCAAGCCCTGCATCAATTATTTTTTATTAAAAAAAATAGATATACAGACAGACTTCCTCCACAGCCAATAAATAACATTATACTTATCTTTTATATCAAAATGGAAATTTAAAGTAATATTATGAATGGAGTTAAATTGATCTTTTAGGGTGATTTAGTTCATATATTGGTAATTATAAAGTTTTTTGTAACACCCTTGTAAAATAATAAAGTATTTGTAAGAAGAAATTCCAAATACACGGCTAGTATGCATGCTACGGCCACCCTAAAATCCTCCACCACTAATCCACTTTAATTCCGCCACTTGGCGCAGGCTGCAACCGTAATAACCTTTGCCCATTAATGTGTCCTTTATCATTGTTGTCAGGTTTTTTTTAATTATTTTTTAATTAAAAATATATTAAAATATTTTTTATATTTAACACTTTAAAATTATAAAAAATATTTTAAATATTAATTTTATTTTTTTCAAGTAAAACAATTAAAAAACACTTAAAAAAATAAATTGAACTACATTATTAAACATAGTATAACTATTAGTAAACTGTTTAGGTATGAAAACAAATAGGAAATTAGATTATAAACATAAAAATTTAAGATATTTATTTATCTCACATAAAAATAATATTTTTGGGATATAATTAAACCCTCTATACATATAAAAGAATAAAAAACAAAGAAAAAAAATATATTTTTTGTATGTTTTTTTAATGGTATAGTAACATGTTTAGATAAACTTTAAATATTATAATAGAACTACATAACTTAATAAAATTATATAATTATTAATAAGATAATTATATTTTGAATTAAACTGAACAATTATTAGTTAATTCTATCTCAATAATTATAGATATTAAAATTAATTATAAAAATTAAAAAGAGTAAACTTAAAAAAAATAATCCTATTGAAATATATATATATATATATATATATATATATATATATATATATTCCATTAAAACTATAGAATATACAATAGAAACTAAAAACATAAGAAGAGAGTGTTTAGTAGAAATATTTTCCTTTTTATTCAACACCAACAATAACTAGCTTGACAACCTGTTCATCAGGCATTGGGAATGATATTTATGTGCTAAGCATGGCGCCCCTCTAGCTAGCTTGGTGTGAATTGTTAGCACAAAATATGAATTTGCAAATTCAATTATACAAACAGAAGTGCCAAGTTCTTATATTGGTATGCATGAATCATTTGAGGAATGCTATGGTCTTCTGTTTCTAACCGAAGCAAAGTAATAACATTTTGCCCATGAGCCAAATGAACCACTGGGGCTGTTCCCTGCTCAATTAAAATTGCACTTCTATGAACTCTCTCTATCATGGAACGAATGATTGTGAAGTTTCTCCATCATGAGACGAATGATTAATGGCTTGGACCAAGACATGGATCGAACTTTCTTTCTCTTTTTTTATTTTCAAGAAGATGACCTAACAATCATTTGAATGGCCCTCGTTGAAGAACACATCAATGTTGCCCTTGTTCATGGTAACACACGATAACCACATTTAGATCCCAAATATTTTGGTTTTGATAAAAGCTACATATGTGATCACTCCAAGGGAACCTTCTGTTAATTATCTTGAAAATTAATTGCAAAAAATAAAACAGTAAAACGCAAGTAAAATTGTTAACAGGACAAAATATGAAGAAATGAATTGCCAACTGGGCAAAATCTCCTGGGAAACCAGCAGCATCTGAAGGGATCCAGCAGCGAAACAATGAGGGTGATCACTCACATGCATGTCATGTTTCGGTGTCAAGTAGCCACCCAGAACCTTGTGGTATGCTGTTCACCAGCAAAAATCCGAAACTCCAATTCCAAAGGTCTGAAACGAATCAAAACTGAATGAATATAAATCCAGCAGGGTAGCTCTACCTAGCTGCTCTCTTTAAATCTTGGCAGTAAGTCATCAGTGATGCAAAAGATTATGCCAGGTTCCTGCCATCTGATGCCAAGAGCTCGAGCCTGACACGATAAAAGATAGCTATCCCTTTTCTTCATAGAAATCAGTTGCAGTATTTGATAGCATGCCATTACTGGATTGCTATTTTTCACACTTCTTTTTATGTCATCATCATCACTGTTAAAAAGATCTCATCTTTTACTCTTAGTACAAAGATATGGCCAGTTATGTCCATCAGAAATCACCAATGGGTAAATATAAGGTAACGATATGGCCAGTTATTCCAAATAGTGAAATCGACCAATAAATTTTTGCATAGCTCTTCCCTTCTTTGTTTCTTTTGCTTTCTTTCTTGTCTCAGATTTGGCTTTTCCATGTTTTGTTGCTTTCCTCTGAAACTGTCACATCTCGCCATTTTTTGTACTACTTGGTGTTATGTCCTGAACACTAATTTTTTTACCCTCAATCCCTTTTCTACTTTCGGCTTTTCTGCATTTTGCCTTCCTTTTATCCATGCTTCAACATTAATACCACCAATATATGTCCATGAAAGTGCATTTTCAGATACACAGTTACGAAATGCAACTTAAACATCAAGGAGTAGGGTTTGCTTCTTCTTATATGCTTTCAGTTAATAGCTAGGTAGTAGCTACATGGTTGTTTGTAGTGAAACTAGTTTGTTCATAACCTAGGAAAGTTTCTGTGGATATTATAAAAGAAAGGAAAAGCATCGGGAAAAGTTTAAATTGAAATTGAAACCGATTCCTCTCTCCCCTGTCTGTATCTTGTCCTGCTTCATCTTGTGGTTCCAAAGAAGACTTGTCACTCCTTACGCCACCTCTTGGCAACATAGATTCTCCAACTGGCTCCAACCAACCACCAACACCACCTCTTTCTCCACCATTTATAAGCACTGCACCTTAGTCAATCAGAATCACAAATCACCTCTTCATTTAAAACCTGCTCTCTTACATTCACTTGTTTGGTGATCAGCACTCTTATTTTTGTATTTGCAAAGAGTCCCACCCTCTCTTTCCATCAAAATTTTAGACTTGACATTCAAGAACATGTCTTCAAGCTATCAAGCTTCCAGAAATTCAAGATCCGCTTGGACACCAAGGGAAAACAAACTGTTTGAAAAGGCACTAGCCTTGTTTGATAAGGACACACCGGACAGGTGGCAAAATATAGCCAAAGCTGTTGGTGGTGTGAAATCTGCCGAGGAAGTGAAGAAACACTATGAAATCCTTATTGAGGATCTTCATCATATCGAGTCTGGCCGCATTCCTATTCCCAAGTACAAGTCTAGTGGAAGCCGCAACAACACAAACAAAGAAGAAAGGTAATGCATTGTTTTCTGAAGCATATGCGCTGCTATATTAAAGAATGCCTACAATGTCTCAGGCACTGTAGATAGTAGATCCAACATGTGTTCAGTACCAAAATCACACCAAGAACCATAATTCCAAAACTTCAAGTCACAATGTCGAAATCTTTATGCCCATTTAGTGAAGTTAATTAGAACAAACTGCAGATGGCAACTGGCAATCTCCATATTGACTCATAGAGAGTCCTTCATGATTTCATGGCAGGGTAGGCCCATGTGCTAAGAGTGAAAATGGAAACTTTAGCTCTAAAGGGGTCCGTCAGTGTGTCTTCGTTCCAAAAAGCCAACCTGCTCAAACTCCTTTCTTCACTATCTTCTTATCATGTTCCTAGTTAAAAATCAAGCACAAATAGGATTTTGTGTTGAACCTTTTGACTTTTTTTCATATTTTGTAGGTGTAATTAACATTAAGAAATTATTCCAATATAATAATAATTCTAGTTTTTAAAAAATCTTAGGTTGTATATAAATTTTATAGGTGTAATTTTTGTTAATTCTTTATGTTGATATTTACTTATTTTTGTGATGATAAAAAAGGAAGAAAAAACTAGGAGAAAAATAATAGTTTTTTTTTTTTAATGAAGAAGGTCACTTGGAATATAGAGTCCTATTTCTGAGAGGAGAATAAATAAAATCATTTTTGTGTGATCACAGAAAATAAAAAAATAAATTGCAACGAAGATATAGAAAAGATAAAATTCCTTAATGAAAAGGTGACTTGAAATATCCAGTTCTAGTTGCAGAATAAATAAAATCAAGTTAACTATGTTTGCTTTACAGGCTTCTGAAGCATCTCAACCTGCAGTGAAGTCCAAGACTCGGACAGGCTACCTATTTATCATCCTGAAGGCAAGTTTGTGGAAAGTGGATGCTCCTATCATCATGAGATGAACTCTGTTTCTTTGTCCTTCTCTGCACTATGATTCATTTCATATCATCTTCCATTAGCTCCATTGTGATGAAACTATCCATGCTAGTAAGATGTTCTTCATTGCTCGATCCACCATCGCTCTTCTGATTAACAAGAAAATGAAATGAACACATTAATAGACTGATGACACAGGCTGCAAACTTAATCTTTACAGTAATTCAGGGATTCAGTCCTATGTTCTTCCTTCCAGATCTGCTTCATGTTTTGTGCACGTATACCCTTAAGGTTGCCTGGAAGAGAGGGTATCAAAGAAACCCTCGGCAAGAAATTGAGTCCTGTTCGAGTGATGTCCGATAACCAGAAAGGTGACCTTGTCTTTGGACATCTCAGCATAAAACAGTTTGTTGAAGAGCCCAACCACCGCCTAATTCCACTTAGATCAAGATTTCTGAATTATTTAGAGGCCTCTTTAAATGGGCCGTCATTTCAATTTGGGCCCACTTCATTAAATAGGCCTAAAAAGCTATGTTTTTTTTTAAGATTAATCATTATTTCAATAATGTTTTATTAAATTAAAAAAATTACAAATGTTTTCAACCCAACATTTCAATTTAGAAAAACTAAATTACTTAGGGATCGAGCCCTTAATAAAACATAAACGAAATTCATTTTTGAACTCCTTTTTATTTATTTATTTATCCAAACGAGTTATAAACCATTGATTTCGATGCAGAGCTCCCTTTTACTCCGTTCAAACAACAGTTGATAGACGGAATCAGATCTCCCTGGTTTTGCTTTCCGTCAATTTGCATACAAAGAGGCAAGGATTTTCTTGAGTTGCCTGTTGTAAGCGCACGGTCGTTCCGATTGAACCACATGACCTGCCTTCTCAACGTAATGCAACGTCGCTTTGCCCCCTAAAAGTCTCCTGCAATCATTTTTCATCATATAATTAATCGAGTGTGCAGCATAAGAAATTATATTTATGCGTAATTATTTAATTTCCTTTGAACATAAATGAAAAGCAACGAGTGATTACATGAGTATGACCTGTGCATGTTTCAAATTAATTTTTATTTGGAAATAAATTAAAAAATGTTTTTAGTTTTTATTTTTTTGCATTTCAAAACTACCTGTTTCCTTCTTCTTATCTTGGGGGAGAGGGAGCCACGGTCCCCATAAGTTATTTGAAAAGTAGGACTTCATCCCTATATCTGAGGAATTTCAATTAGGATCCTTTAACTCCATCCTTGTATTTAAAATAATTTCTATTAAACCCCTTTAAAAAGTTTTCCAATTACACTTGTGACCTCGCCAAGAAATTAATTGAATAAGTGCCTCACTGTGTAATGGACTCCTTACTCTTTCAAGTTGCGTGCGATTTCCTTGGTGAAAATTACGTCCTCCTCGCCCCATAAGAGATGTATCCTCTGTGCCTGTGGGTAACAAGGGATGTAGAAGTCCTTATCCTTCACTTGAACTGCCTCCAGAAGTTCAACTCTCTCCTTCTTGTGATTTATAAACATGTCCTGCAGCATGAGTTTTCAAGTATTTTACAATTTGATTCCTGTTTTATATATATGTATTAGTTTCTTTTGTTTTGAAAAGCATAAGTTAATTGGTAATTACTTGACCAAAGTTGATTGCTGCTTTTCTTTTAAATTTCCAAATTATCTTTTTATTTGTATTGAATTAATTTTAAAGTCTAAATTTAAAGTGTCATTATAGTTTTTAGTTCGTTTTTCTAGATGCATGCATAATTATCTTTACACTAGCATGCTATTTTATGAATGGGTTGAGCTCCTTTATATTTCTTAGTCTTGTTTAATTTTTTTTTAACATGGTACGAGAATTAATTATACAAGACACTGAAGCATATGTGTAGAAAGAAGATAGAAGAAGCCTAAGATGAGCTAAATGCAAGCTTTGAAACCATAAAGAAAAAATGATTCATAGCATAAAAGATGATATGATATGATATAAAAGAGATCATAAATCAAAAGTAGAAAAGTAAGCCAAAAAGATTTTCACTAGATAAATATGATAGCAACTACAAGATAAGAAAAATAATTAAGGTAATATTTGAAATTGTAATAATAATTATTTTTTAAAGTATTTTTTATTCAAAAATATATAATAATAATAATAATATTATTATTAACATAGCAAATCAAAACTATTTAAAATTAAAAAAATAAAAACAAAATCTAAAAATTTTCAAAAACACTTTTTAAATTTAAAAACAAACCTGGTGATATAAGTGAATATAGTTTTTAAAGAAAAGAAGATATTACTAGCTAGCCATGATGACGGAGAAGCATTATGCTATTTAAAAAAAAAAAAAAGAATAAAATATGAGTGTTAGACTGTTAAGTTGAATTATATCTGAAAAAAAATGTACTGTTAGTTGAATCTAGGATAGCACTGCATTGCTAAACTCCCCAAGGACTGGGAACAAAATTTTGTTACATGGTTCAGTGAAAAGACAAAAACTCGAGGGAAGTTGAATGCAATCGACGGGGCAATGATAGAAAGATTGTCCTCTAACTCAGAGATTTTATTGAGTGAAAAACTAGTTGTTGCTATGAGAAGAAGGACGACGAGGATATTACCTGGAAAATGTCTCCGTAGAAAAAATCAGGCATCGCTAAGGACTTGTAGGTACAAAGTACTGCAATTTTTTTCACATCCTCGAATGTTTCAGGAATTAGGAGTTCTGCCCATGATGAGAAGCCGATTCTTTCTAGGGCGGCACGAGAGATGGACTCGGTCAAGGCCATAACAGTGCAAGTGACAACCATTGAATCAACCAAGTCAGGGTACATCTCAGCCATCTTGAAGCCAACCATTCCTCCATAGCTTAACCCAACCAAAGTACACTTCTCCACACCAAGCTTCTTTAGACCCTTAGCCATACATTCTGCTTGAAAAGCCGGTGACCGCTCGGTTTTATCAGTGAATGAGCCTCCAAAGAAGAGGAGATCTGGAACATAAATAGCATAGTCCTTGGCCAGAGCTAGCATCTGAAATTGCCATGTTGAAATCCCATTAAATCCAAAACCATGAAGAAGCACCACAGCAGGTTTTCTCTTGGCTTGGTTGTGGATTTTGGTCTTACTTGGGTTTTCAGCTGGCGCCCAAAAGTGGACGACCGTCCCTGGTTCGATCTCTACTACTTGGGATCTCACGCCGACTAGCCTTAATAGGACACGCAACAAGGACATGTATATTGCTAAGCTTTTCCCCATTTTTCTCTTTCGTTGCTCGAGGGTGTGTGTGTGATTTGCTGATTTTGGCTTTGCTGCAGCAAGAAGGGAAGGTAGCCTCATGTATTGGATGGTGGAGGGTACTCTTTTTTGTCTCATGAGGACATCACCAGTTTTTTATGTTTAATTTTTTTAAAAAAAAATTATTTAAAATTATTTTTTAAATGTTTTTGGATCAAAATATTATTTAGATATATTTTAAAAAATCAAAATATTATTTCAAAATATTATTTCAAAATATTTTTTTAAAAATCAAAATATCAAATAAACTGTAATCAATCCAACTGCAGTTTAGTTACGAGGGCTATTTTCATTTGCGTTTGACTTTTTGTTGGAAACAATTACATAATTAACTCGTGAGTCACGTGAAATAAATTGATTTAAACAAAAACACTTTTTTAAATAATGACAAAATAACAGAATTTATAAAAAAAAAACAAGAAGATAAAATATAATAGTTTGTACATAACATAATTAGAAAATGCGACATGTAAGTTTGTTTGAGTTATTTAAAAAAATGTGAAATGGGCTGCATATAGAAAAAATAGAGAAAAAACAAATCTTAAAAGCATATTAAAAGTCTAACTATGATACATTGGTGTTATTAAAAATATTTTTACTGGAAGAATCCAGTAATATAAAGAAAGATTATTAACAATGAATGAAATGAGTTATATTTGTTACTAGAAATAAGTGAGACACTAATTACTTTTTAGCTATTTTTTAAAAAATATATATTATTTTGTCAATACTTTTAGAAATAAATGTTAATTTAAAAAAATTAGCCAATAAATTTATTGTCACTACTAGATTATAAGATTGTATTTTTTTACTTTCACATAATTACAACTCGCATTATCGATCCATTTTTTTTATAACTTTTGGTTAGTATCTCAAAACAAAAAAGACAAAGATAGTGGAAATAGAGAAGACAATACAAAAAATAAAACTGGGATAAAATTATGTTTAATATTAATGTTCAAAATAAAATGATTGTCTCTATATCTTATTTGGTCATGTTAGACAAGATAGAACAAAATATTAAAAAGTTTATTTTATCATTAATATGAATTGTTATAAAACTTACATATTTTTTTAAAAAAATATTTTATTTATTTATTTATTATTTTAGTTTATATTAAATGTTGAAATTAATAATATTATAATAACCCTAGTTAAGAAACCATGACTAACTTGATAGGTTAATTCAGGGGCTGAAATGGTCAGAATTTAAAAAAAAATAGAGGAAGAATTGACTCGATATAACCCAGTCAAAAATCCAGGTCAACTTGAAATAAAACATGACTCAAAACCTTGTTGATTTTTTTTTAAAAAAAAAATTAAGTCATCTAATAGGACCCTCTTGACCCATAACCTGAACCTTGTCTCGGGTTAACTCTCGAGTTGATTTTTAAAATTATGATAATAATAATTTTTATCTATTTATTGACTCGAGTCAAACTGTGTTAATCTTCCAGGTCTGTAACTCAAGTCTTGCTTCAGTTGACCCTAAAGTCAAGTTTTAAAACTACAATAATAATAATTTTTATCCTTACATTGATTCAAATTGACCCTTTTAATTCATGATTGGAGTTTTGCCTTGATATAACTCTCGGATTAAGTTTTAAAACTATAATAATAATTATTTTTATTCTATGTTGACTTGGATCAACTCGGGTTGGTCCTCTTAACAAGGAACTTGTCCTTAACCTGAGTTGAGTATCGAGTCAAATTTTAAAATTATAATAATAAATATTTTTATTCATACTACCTCAAATTAACTTAATTAGTGATTCAAGTCTTAATCAATGATCCAAACTTTGTCTTGAATCGACCTCTAAAATGGATTTTAAAACTATTATATTAATAGTTTTTATGTTTACGTATTGTAGTTGGAAAATTTTAAAATTACAAAACTTTTTAAAATAATATTTTAAAAATAAAAAATACGTATTGTAGTTGGAAAATTTTAAAATTGCAAAACTTTTTAAAATAATATTTTTTTTAAAAAATACTGTTTTTAGAAATATATTCCATTTATAACTCATGTTTTATATATATAAAAAATCACTTTAGAATTATTATAAAAATAATTTTTTTTATATCTCTATTTATATTTTTAATCAAACACATTTTCATTTACACTGTCATCATACCAACCAAACGTCACCTTTGGGAGACAGACTAAATACAGCTTCAATTTCAAGTGTAACTTGGACGTATTTCTAGATTGTACAATTGGAGCAGGCTCTTAAGCAGTCAAGGTTCAGATTAATTCATAATTATCAATCTAATTATGTAGTTTTGACAATAATTGGTTTATAATTGCCTGGAAAACTTTTTCAAACTTCCAACTTTCACTTACATAATTTATGGCAATCAAATCTCCATACCCAACTCGAACGTAAACAAGACAGACAATAAATGGGAGACGGGTACAAGGCAATAAATGCGAGACGGGTACAAGGCCGTCGCAACTCGAAGATAAACAAGACAGGCAATAATTGCGAGACGGGACCAAGGCCGTCGCCCTGTTTTTTGTTTTTATTTTCCATGCAAAGAGACAAGAATTTTCTTGAGTTGCCTGTTGTAGGCAAACGGGCGTTCCAATGGAACCGCATGGCCTCCCTTCTCTATGTAATGCAATGGCGCTTTCCCAGCTAGTAATTTCCTGCAAGCATGGTTCAATTTTCAAAATATAACTAATTCATGCAAGGATAAGATTTGCCTCTGGTTGGATTAGCGAAATTAAAGAATTTTGTCTTGTTAATTCTATCTAGTCGGATTTAATGCCAAGTAAGATTAATTAAATAATTAAATGGTGTCATCCTCACTCACTCTTGCAAATTGCGAGCGACTTCCATGTTGAAAATTATGTCTTCCTCTCCCCACAAGAGATGTATCCTCTTCGCTGTATTCTGCATAAATCAAGAACATTAAATGAATAGTGAGTGGCGAAGAAGAGTGGCCATGGAAGCTACATTTTCTTCTTTTTTTTTTTGTCCTTCAGCAGATGCTTCGGCATGAATTACACTAGCACAATATTGTGATTGGATTTGCTCCTTTTTAGAAACAAAGCTTCATTAGAGCGAGATGCCATGTTTTCAGGTCACCTTGGCAGAGCAAGGTCAAGAGTTTCTACTATTGAATAAAGGCCAAAAACATCTTTTCAATGACATCTTTAGTGCATTAATGGATAGTTGAAGATACTTTATTTTTCAATGTTGTTAACCGATGGAGGTTTTTTTATTGCTTTTTTTTTTAAAAAAAAAAAGAAAAAAGAAAAACTGAAGACTGGGCTAGTCACCCTGCTGCATGCCAGCTTTGTATTTTATTTTATTTTTTTAAAAATGATGTGGTGTGTGTGCGCGCAGTTAATTATGACCTGGGGGTAAGAAGGGAGGCTGAAGTCCTTGTCCTTTACGATGAGTGCGTCCAGAAGCTCTACTCTTTCCTTCCTGTTGATATCATATGCGGTCTGTCGGCATTGAAAATTGTCAAAAAGTAATTAATGAGCTATTTAATTTCTGGAATAAAAGAAAAATGAGGATGGATAGCAAAAATCAAGAAAGGAAAAGGAAGCCTAGTCTGATGTTATAGATATTTTTTCCTTCTCCTTGAGATGCCTTTTAAACTTACAATGCAATCACCACTGGATCCGCCACTAATCCAAAGACCATTAGTGTGCCCACAGCCTTTCCTCACCGTTATTATTTATCAGGTTCTCAAAAGGAAATAAAAATAAGCATACCATTATTAGAATTTTATAACCTCCAATCTAAGGGACATAGACATGAAAAAATCCCCTTGATTTCAAATATTATCCCTGTATATCATGGTATATAAAATATTACTTACTACTTTAATTTTTGAAATTAAATTAACTTTTTAATATAGTATTAAAATTTTAATGACTAATCGAATTTAAATCTTATTATTTTTATTTATATAATAAAAAATAATTTGAATTTATATAAATTTTAAACTTAAAAATTTTTCACTTAAAAAATATATTAAATAATAACATGTGCCCCCGTGAAAAGTTTATTATGTGTTCCTATCAGCGTCTAAAGATGACTAACAGCAACATAAAGCACCCATAGAAAGGATGTTGGGCAGTTCTTTCTTCCTTCGACCTTCACTTATGTTTTATAGATCCAAAGTTAGCACATAATACAAATATTTTAAGAAGGAGCATAAGATAGACTACCTCGAAAACATCTTTGTATAAAAAGTGAGGCATCCACAGAGATTTGTAGGTGGAAACGTCTACAATTTTTTTCACACCTTCGACTGTGTCAGGAACCAAATGTTTTACCCACGATGGGAAGCCAATTCTCTCAAGGCTAGCACGACTAATGGACTCTGTCAAGGCCATAACAGAGCAGCTCACAACGAAGGAATCGACCAAGTCAGGGAACATCTCAGCCATCTTGAACCCCACCATCCCTCCATAGCTCAATCCAACCAGGGTACACTTCTCTACACCGAGCTTCCTTAGACACTTAGCCATGCATTCTGCTTGAAAAGCTGGTGACCGCTCAGTTCTATCTGTGACCGAGCCTCCAAAGAAGAGGAAATCTGGCACGTAAACTGAGTACTCTTTAGCCAATGCTAGCACCTGAAATTGCCAACTTAGAATGCCATTAAATCCAAAACCATGAAGAAACACCACAGCAGGTTTGCTCGGTTTGTTCTCGGCTTGTTTGAGGTTGTTGGTCTTCTTTGCAGTTTCATTTGGAGCCCATATGTGCACGATTGTTCCTGGCTCAATCTCCACTGACTGGGGTCTCACTCCGGCTAGTCCTAATATGGCACGCAAGAAGGACGTGTAAATGGCTATACTGTTCACCATCTTTCTCTGATCTTCCTAATTTGTCTAGGCTTCTGTGTACACAGAAGGATATGGTGGAGGAATTTATGGTATGTTGGTTGATACTTCACTTCGTGAGCTTGCGGCTGCGGGTGCTTTTAAAACATACAGCAGCTCGTAAATATTTAATTAAAAAAATAATTTATTATGCATGAATTTTATAGTAAATTGTATATAAAACGCAGGAAGAAGGAAAACAACAAATTGCTGCTTTTTTGTGCTTTAAAAAATGATACCATGCTTTACTGTTTACTAAACAGTCAAAGCTGCCCCAATGAAGAATAGCTTTACCTTTTTTGGCAGACCGAGTTCGGTTTAAAATACAAAATATATTAAACTGGGTTTAATTTAATAAAATAAAAAAATATTTTTTATTTTTTAATTGTATTTTATTTAATTGATGATATAGTATTTGTAGAATTTGATCGGAATTCTAATTTTATTCATGATTATATTTTACAAGTTATGTTATTATATATTTAAGAAACCATAAAAATTATTGGATAAATTTAAAACATGATGAAATTATAGATAATTGAATAAAATAATAAAAAATATTTTATATAAAGTATTATTTATTTTATGATATAATAATCATAGTTAAATCTATAATATTTAAATTAAAACTTATCAATATTAATATATATATTTTTTAATTATTCTATAACTTTAATTTTAAAAGCATTTTTAACTAAACACATTAAATTATTTTTTATTTAAATTTAATTTTAACCACAATTTTAAACAAACATATATATTTCCAAATCAATTTTAACTAAAAATATTTTTTATAAATTTTTTTTTTAAATTACAACCTTAACAACAATCATAATATCAAACACATTAAAAGTAGATATTTTATTGCTTTTCCGTCAAGAGAAAAAGTTTAAGATGTTATAATATATATATATTTTCTTTCATACAATTTATATTATTTTTTAATATATATTTTTAAAAAAGGTTTTTTTAAAATTAAAATTTAAACAATTTTATTATTATTTTATATTTGATTTTATCAAATAAAATAAAAATAATATAACTCAAACTTCTAATTACTTAAACAAAATTTGAAACGACATTGTAGTGTCTCCGGTCTGATCATCAGGACAACTTGTCCCGAAACTGTTGTCGCCCAAAATAATTCACCAACCTAAAGTTTGTCATCTTGGGAGCTTCCCAACCATAAAACTGTCGCATGCTTTTTTGAAGTTGCTCACGTCCACATAATAATGATAGCTTGGTTCTTATAGAAGTGAGAGGACCACCTTTCCTTTTGCGAGTTGGACCCAGAAACTTCCCATGATAATGATCGCTGGCTAGTTTTTCAATATTAAAAAATTATTTTACTTATTATTATATGAGTTTTTAATATATAAATTATATTATTCTTATGCTAAATCATCCATTTTTCATCACCAGCCATTTTTATCTTGTCTTTGATTTTCTGAATTTTTACAACTCTTGGATTTAAAGTTGATCCCAGTCACTTGAAACCTCTTCTTGCCATGTTAATAAATTCAGCTAAGGTCCTTTTTGTTTAATAAAAAGTGATGTTTGGAAAATTATTTTCTAAATTTTATTTATTTATTTATTATTAAAAAAGTTAATCAATAAAAAATAATAATGATAAAATTTATTATCATCTGCAAATTAAGGTTTTTGGCCCCACCCACTTCTTAGTCTGATCATTCTTGCTTGCATTCTTTTATTGATTAACTTTTTTTAATCCAGAACGGGGAAGAGACACCTTGAAAGAAACAGCAAACGTGAAATTTTCGTCGGCAACGGGGAGGAGGAATCAGAAAGGATGTGAAACAGCTGTTGTTCTATAATTGGAAATAAATAATAATATTAAAGGAGGAAGGAAGGAGTTTAAGTGAGGGTTGGTGGGTGGGTCCTCCATTTTCTCAAGGAGGAGTCCAACGATAAATTTGATTTCATAGAAGGTTGTTTTAGTCACTATACTTACAAAAAGTATTTTAATTGGCCAAGATCTTTGTATGTCCATGGTTACGAGGTTGCAAGGAACTATGTAATCAACACGTGCTCATCCGGCATCGGTGTTTGTTAAAATTTTCTCGTGGAGCACTGTTTTTGTGTTCGCATGTATTTTAAAATTGTGTATGAGTTAAAAAATATTAAATTAGTATTTTTTTTATTTTTTTTATATTTTTCACATGCTATTATAAAAAATAATAAAATAAAATATAAAAAATATTTTAATATTTTTTAAATATACCTTTGAAAACCAAAGATAAACAAGTCACGCGGGTCACTTGGAACGAGAGGCTCCCAATTTTCTAATTCTTGTTAATTTTTTAAACTAATAACTAGTTAAATTTTAGATTTGGTTTCAATAAAAAATATTAATTTTTATTTAATTTAATTTTAAATAATAAAATTTAAAAAAAAATCTCAAAATTTTCCAATGTAAAAAATTAGCAACCAAAAACATAAGGACTCAATTTAATATAAAATCTCAAAATTTTTCAATGTAAAAAATTAGCAACCAAAAACATAAGGACTCAATTTAATATAAAAAATAAAATAAATATTAATGAATAAAATTAAAAAAATCAATTCAAAATAAATATCAATTAAAAAATAAAAATATAATATAATAGCAAAAAACTAAAAATGAAGAAATCATAAAAAAAAATCATTCTAAAAACTATCTCAAATAAGATAAATGGTAATCAAAACAATATAAATCAAATTTAATGAAATTGAAAATAAATTTTAATTTTAAAGATTATTTGAAATAAAATAAATAAATAAAATAGAAATCAAATACAAACTAAAAACACAACGAAATATTGCTTTGAAATTTTAAATGGTGAGACGTGAAATTCAAGAAAAAGAAAAGGAAAATAATGTTTAAGCTTGTATTTTATTTTTGTTTTTCAAATCAAATTGAGGTCTAGAATGATAAAAGTGTCCTTGCCTAATAACATCGACGTGTCAACAAAGAGCGGTAAATAAGCTTTTTACAGAGTATTTTATTCATGAAACTGAGAGTTTTAATTTTATTAATTATAATAAATAATTGATAACACTATGATGGTAATTATCTTATAAAAAATCCCTTAACTTAGATAATAGTATAAGTACATTGGATATTTTTTAAATAAAAGAGTAGTGTTACGTAGATGTGATGTTCCATGTCAAGAAGTGTGGATAATTTATTGTCCTTTATATTGAGGGGATTTTTTTTCATAATTTTTTAAAGTCATTTGTAGTTTGTTTGATAAAAAAATTGTATTTTTTCTTTGTAAAATTTTGTCACAACCAAACATAGCTTTAAGCTTTAAAGTGCTTAGCCCAAACACATGGACCGAGCCTCATGGACACAGCAAAACTCAAAAGAAAAACAAAGCAGCCCATAAAGTTTATTCAATTATTTAATATTGAAAGCTAGCCCGTCCAAAACAACAAAGAGAATGCATGCTTATATCTGGAGTTCACGGTTCTTTTTGCTTCCAGGTGCTGCTGCTCATGGCTGACGGTGGCCGGTGTGGAGGAGCTGACCCACAGTGGCAGCTTGCTGTGGAGGGGAGCTAATTATTTCGGTGTTTTCTGCTTGAGAGGTCACGGGTTTCTGTGTGTGAGAATGTGGGAAGCAGTTGTTTTTTTTCCTGTGTTTTCTTCTCCCCAGGCTACTTCTCTCAAGCTGCTTGGGTTACACGACAAACGAGAACGACCTAGAGCCTATGATCTATGTTATCTTAAATTATTGATGTTTAGGAATTGATACTGGCCATTGGTTGAAGCTATGAACACATACTTGTCTAGCTATGCAGCTGGAAACTGGAGCACACAAGAATATTTTTACATTTTGAGCAGTATCAGGTAGTCTTTTTGGAAAATAATTGGAGGTGTTTTTGGTACTATCAAAGCTGGAACCTTGTCTTAGCATGCAGTACGAGAATTGGGGTGTAAATTGGCATAAAAGTTGTGGCATGGTAAAGAAATGAGGGAAAAATTATGGCTGAAATAAGGTTACTTGGACATTTGTTTATTTTGTTTTCATGGGAGTAAGACAGTGAAGATTGAAATTTTAGTTGGTTTTAATTTGGTTCCTGAATTTTTGGAACTTTTCAAGGGAGTCCCCGATCAACCCTAATCTTTTGGATTTTTTTCAATTTCACCTTTAGATGTTTTCAATTGGATGCTTACATTTATGTGCTTTTTACATAAAGGTTTTTATTGTTGAAATTAATCAATTTGACCCTCATTCAAACTTTAATCTTTAAATTGTTTTTAATTGAACCCTTGATTATATCAATTTGGCATTTTTGAGTTTGAATTGTATTCCTAATCTTTCAATCTTTGTAAATTAATCTAAAATAGGCCTTAAAACTTGGTTTTTCTTTAGCCAAGTCCTTAATTAGATCAATTAAACTAATTAAAGGTTTAATTAAGTTCTTGAACTTAATCAATTGATCTAAATTTAGTCAAATTGACTTTCTAACTTAATTTTGCTCTTGATTAAGCCCTTTGTTAAATCAACTAGATAAAAAAAAAGTTCAATTGAGTCCTGGAACTTAATTATTTTGCAAGTTTGCACCTATCTTTAATATCTTTTTTTAATTTGATCTCAAATTCTCATTATTTTCTTTAATTAGACACTCAATTTGAAATGTGTTCACACCTAACTGGTTTTAAGATATTATTTTAAACATGTTATTAAAAATGATAAATCTTGAGTTTGCTTGCTTGTCTTGACTCAGACGTATTATTTTAATAAATAATTAATTTAAATATGTTTTATGTTTTTTAAGTTGAAAAAATCAAAACTTTTGCAAAAATAAAAATTTTATATGGTTTACTTAAAAAAAAATGAAAGAAGGAAATCAAATAGAAAAATAGAGTAGAAAAAAATAGAGTTCAAAAAATTAGAACAATATATAACTCATTAACCACGTTTAAGGGAAGAGATTCTTAAATCACTACACCCTTGTCTTGAAGTCTGAAGTGTTGATAGTACTGGTATACGTCAAGAAATTCTTAAATTACCATGTAATGTATCCCATTTGGGAGTGTTGTGATTTTGGCTTTTGCTTCTAAAATGTGCTTTTTTTCTTGTTTTAAAAATATTAAATTGATTTTTTAAAATATTTTTATAATTAATTTTAATATATTAAAGTTAAAAAAATATTAATAGAAATTATTTAAAACAAAAACACTTTTAAAATGAAATATACAGCACAACATCAAACATGCTAGAAATGAAGTCTTGGTTTCGTTCATATTTTTAAGGATCAAAATATTTTTTTTTAAAAAATATTTTAATGTATTTTTAAATAAAAAACAAGATATAATTAAAAATTTAATTGACGTAACAAAATTCCGTCAAGAACTCGGATGTAACGCATTAACTATTTTTTTTTTAATAAAAATGATATCCTTTTTTTTTATTAAATAAATAAAAATTGAGGATCGATATATCTGATAACCCAATAATTAGGTTGAAAACCTAGCGAACTTCTCATAATTTTAATTTCCTCAATTATTATTATACAACAAAAAATATTATTTACATTAGTTATCCCAATTTTTAAACATGTTATTAAAAATGATAAATTTTGAGTTTGCTTGCCTATGTTGACTCAAACGTATTATTTTAAGAAATAATTAATTTAAACATGTTTTATGTTTTTTAAGTTAAAAAAATCAAAACTTTTGCAAAAATAAAAATTTTATATGGTTTACTGTAAAAAAAATGAAAGAAGGAAATCAAATAGAAAAATAGAGTAGAAAAAAAATAGAGTTCAAAAAATTAGAACAATATATAACTCATTAACCACGTTTAAGGGAAGAGATTCTTAAATCACTACACCCTTGTCTTGAAGTCTAAAGTGTCGATGGTACTGGTATACGTCAAGAAATTCTTAAATTAGCATGTAATGTATCCCATTTGGGAGTGTTGTGATTTTGGCTTTTGCTTCTAAAATGTGCTTGTTTTAAAAATATTAAATTGATTTTTTTAAATATTTTTATAATTAATTTTGATATATTAAAGTTAAAAAAATATTAATAGGAATTATTTAAAACAAAAACACTTTTAAAATGAAATATACAGTACAACATCAACACATGCTAGAAATGAAGTCTTCGTTTCGTTCATATTCTCAAGGATTAAAATATATTTTTTTTAAAAAAATATTTTAATGTATTTTTAAATAAAAAACAAGATATAATTAAAAATTTAATTGACGTAACAAAATTCGGTCAAGAACTCGGATATAACCCATTAACTATTTATTTTTTTTAACAAGAATGATATCCTTTTGTTTTATTAAAAAAATAAAAATTGAGGATCGATGTGTGATAACCCAATGATTAGGTTGAAAACCTAGTGAACTGGTCAAAATCAATAAAGATAAAATTCTCATAATTTTAATTTTCTCAATTATTATTATACAATAAAAAATATTATTTACATTAGTTATCCCAATACCCATTTAAGTTTCTAATAAATAAAATTATACTAAAATAACATGTTTTTTGATTTTTGTGATTTGATCTAGAAACTAGTATTGATTATAAGAATTCAAATATTTTTTTTAGATTAATATGAGTATCTAAGTTAGTTTATGTATATCTTAATTAATTTTATAGATACTAAAATTTGAATAAAACTTAAATTAAAATTGTTTTTAAAATAAATTCAAAACTAAACTAATCAAACTATATTCAGATATCTTATACATACGCTTGTATATATAACAGGAATTCATAATCCATTATTTAAATAACGTGGAGCGTCATACGTTGTAAAGTTGAAATAAAATATAGACGACACGTAAGGTCCTCGTAATTAACGAAAGAAACCTCACAACTGTGCATCACTGTTCGAAAAACGTGATTATTATTTCCATAGCTTCTAATCTTATTGAAAATGTCACAATCTAACAGTATATTCAAGTGGTTTTACAGTGTTTTTTTTTTTTACTGTAATCTTTGGTGATTTTAAAAAATATATATTAAAATTATTAAAAAAAACTAAAAAAATATTAAAACACGGTTGTCGAAAATGTAACCTTAGATATCTAGATGGTGCTTGTGATAGAGGTGGTCCTTAAAAGGCATTGATTATTATTTGTATTATTTAAGGTTCAAATCTGTGGATAGTCGTGGACTTTTTAAACATCGCATATGATTCAAAAAGCAAAATATTCAATAAGACAGAACGGTACTGATTCCACAGATCGGTAGATGAGATGAGATTTCCTTATGATCATGCTGATGTCAAACTAATACAAACAGCAACGGCCAAGAGTCGAGAGAGGATGAGTTCCACTAATTTTCCTTCCCATCTTCATACAAAGAAGCAAGAATTTGCTTGAGTTGCCTATTGTAGGCGAAGGGTCGCTCCAATTCCACCAAGTGACCTGCCCTCTCGATGCAGTGCACCGTTGCTTTGCCTTCTAGTAGCCTGCGGTGACAATTTCGAGACAAACATTACTAAAGTGGTGAACAACATTTATGGAAAGCTAATTAAATATATTTATGGGCCATATTGACACGTACTAAAGGCCAGCCCTATCGACTAGTAGGTCAAGCTTGTCGTTCGTACATATATAGATAGACGAGGGAGAAGACAAATTGTCCTTGATTTAGATTCCCATGAAAACGATTATTCAACAATTAGGGGCAGTTTTATCATTCGAATATCTTAAGTACTAGTTGCGTTCTATCTATTGCCGCAATGGCTGTGCCGATGAATGGATGAAAGTCAACAAAATCAATTAGTGAATCGATGAATTGACGGAGAAAAAAGCGTACTCTTTCAAGTTGCGAACTTCCTCCTTGTCGAAAATGATGTCATCAACTCCCCACAAGAGATATATCCTCTGCGATTGGAATAAAAAGTAAAGATAAGATTTATCGTGCTAGTTAGACCTTCGAGGCAGAATGGAATAAATGAATAGCGAATGGCTGCCAGAGTTTTGCTTCTTAATTTCTTCTCCTTGACAACCAATAAACAGCCCACTGGTTACAAGTTAAATCCCATTAATCTGGACTAGCAAGTCGAGTGATTAACAACAATCTTAAATGTTAGTTCCTTTCTGACCTGTGTAAAACTAGGGACAATGAAATCCTTGTCCTTCACAATTGACGCCTCTAAAAGTTCATGCCTTTCCTTCCTGTGGTCGAAATACAAGGCCTGCCACCAATTTCAAGAATTTATTACGGTCAAAAATCAATTCCGAAAGTTTAAATATGACTTCCATTAACGATATGTAGAATTCTACTTCTCAACTAAAGATCCTCGTTTGATGGCGAACTACTATATTCATGAATTGCTCCTCTCGATTGTTAAGTCAAATCTAGCTCTGCTTTGCCAGTATGTGGTTGCTTGCTAAGATAAAAGGATTTGATAGTTGGAGCATCGATGTCTGGGTACTTGCACGCTAATTCTAATCAAGTAGGAAGGATTGATTAGACTGGGAGATTCGGTGTGATGATTTGTGTACAAACACCATGGATCGAGGAGAAATTAAAATTAAAAATGGGATATACAGTGTGATAGTTTAGCTAACGAAGCTTACCTCCAAAATGTCTCTGTAGACAAAATCAGGTATCCATGGCAGCTTGTAGAAAGCAACGTCTAGCAGTTTCTTCACGCCCTCGACAGTTTCAGGAATCAAATAATCTGCCCACGATGAGAAGCCAATTCTTTGCAGACCAGCACAAGTGATGGACTCAGTCAAGGCCATAACTGAACAAGTTATCACCATTGAATCAATCAAATTAGGGAACATCTCAGCCATCTTGAAACCAACAAACCCTCCATAGCTCAATCCAACCAAGGTGCACTTCTGGACGCGAAGCTTCCTGAGACCCTTAGCCATGCATTCTGCTTGAAAAGCCGGTGACCGTTCAGTTTTATCGGTGATTGAATCTCCAAAGAAGAGGAAATCCGGAACATAAACAGCGTACTTCTTGGCCAAAGCTAGCACCTGAAATTGCCATGTCAAAATCCCATCCAAACCAAAACCATGAAGAAACACCACTGCGGGTTTATTTGTGGTAGTGGTTTCACTCGGGACCCAGAAATGAATGACTGTCCCTGGCTCGATCTCTACTGCTCGGGGTCTGAACCCAGCTAGCTTCATTAAGCCTTGCAACAAGGTCTTGTACAATGACAAAGTGTTCACCATCTCTCCTTCTCTAGAAAGGCAGGCTCTTCCAAGCCTTGTCTGAATGATAACTACAGGAGTCGTGTTATTTGTAATCGCCTTGATGGCTTAATCCCAGGAATCAGGGATTCTTAGTAAGGAAGTACAAGTAATAGATTACAAGGGTGATTATAACTCGCTGGGATGTCTCCTACCTCCTCATTTTCTTACATGGGAAACGTGCTGTTGATCTTTAAAATGTAAGAAAATTCTGTAAGTCTACTTTCAATGATGGCGACAACTTTTTCATTATGTTTTTTTTTTTTAATTAGTTTTTAGATGGGAAGCATTTGACGATTTTTCAAAGAAAATCCTCACCACACACATATTTTTGATTAAAAAATTTAAATGTTTTTATAGAAGGAGGGAATAAAACGTAGAGTTACAATAAACCAAAAGACTATATTTTACCTTCGGAATTTAGGCTCGCCAAAGGTAAACCACTGAATTAACATGCACAGAATGGTATGGCGATTCATATAATTATATGCCAAGTTGCGGGTGAGCTGAGTATTTTTAATTTCTTTGCATCCATTTATTAAGCAATGTTACAGGTTTGAAGTTGAAATAATATACAATATTAAGAGCAAATTTGATGATCCAGGAGGTTTGATCTTTTCCTTATTTTCTCATGTTTAGAAATTAGAATCAATTGGTATTTTAAGAATTTATTTGTTAAAACATATCTAAGTCAATATATGGGATGCATCTTTAAAATTATATAAAAGAAATTAATTTTAAATGATATATACATTAAAGAAAATCATTGATCATTAAAAGAAATTTCTATCAAAAAACTATCTCAATCTAATAAGTTAAATTGTTAAATAAAATTTAAAAATATAATTCATATTATTCTCTAATATATTTTTTCAAATGAAAACCCTTTAAACATATTTATAATATATTATGTTTAATTTTTATTAAATAAATAAAAATAGTAAGATTTAAACTTGTAAATATTTTATTATTAAAATTTTAATATAATGTTAAAAATTTATTTTAATTTAATAATTTAAATTATTAAATAAAATAATATTATATCGGCCCAAAGTGGTAATATTGCCATGATAGAATTTAAAAATAAATAAATGTCAATGCTCGTCAGATCTATACATTAATACGAGTAATTTTATGGTATTACGTAACACATACATCACATGCATTTTTCTTAATTTTCTGCTATTAAATCCATGCAGTAGCAGATTCGCTAGGCAAGATCTTGATCCATTCAAGAATATAATTCTTTATATTAAACTGATTTTTTCAAGATTATCAATAAAAGTATTTCCATCCAACTTGTATCAATCACGATGTGGAAGTTGGAGACATCCTCCGTACCAAAATCAAATTTGTAAGGGAATTTTCGCTTGTTGCGGTCGCTTTCTTACAATTAAAATCTTAAAGTAAATTAAAAAAAAAAAAGTCATCATACTTTCGCGATAACTTTTACTCTGATCACAGGGGATTGGAACAATATTATAATATTTATACATTTTGTGGCAAAACTATAAATTATTGCTTTTAGGCTATTTTTTATCTTTCCATGATGGTTGACTTGGCATTGCTGAACTAATTGAGATATTTTTTTGTGCTCCACTTAAAAGCAGATTAGCATATAACAATCATTCGATGATATTTTTGGCATTTCATATTTAATTGCATAACGAATTATAGAATTTACATCTAGAACCCACAAAAAATAATTAATTTTTGGGTAATTATGTAAATGAGAAAAGAGTTCTTACATCTTTTACTAGACACAAGATCTTATTTAAATAATTAATCTAGAGATGCACCGACGATCAAAAAATTTGTAGTGGTGCGTGTAGCTAATTTTCATAACTAAAAAATAGCTTCCAAGCCAGTGATGGAATTCTTTTGACAACCCCTACTTAATAAGGTGGTATGTGTGTTTTTTTTTTTTTTTTGGTATTTGGATTGCTGTGAACGAGTGCTTATGTTTTTCTCTCTCATCTTAGGAAAGCGTTTTGTTCCTTTAAAAATTTAATGCATCTCTTTAACTAGATTGGTCAGTTATTTATTTTTAATTTATTTTTTTAAAATAATTTATAAAAAAAATATTTTCAATTTAATTCCCTGTAAATTTTTTTATTTTTTAAATTTGATTCTTAAAAAGTTCAATGCAATCCTTTTATTAGTTTTTTTTCCAGATTTGATTCCTTGTTTTTTATTAGTATTTTTTATTTAAAATAATTTATAAAATTATATATTTTTAATTTTATCATATAATTTTTTTCACATGTTTAATTTAATTCCTCTTTATTTTATTTAAATTACTTAGGTGTTGGAATTCTTGAACAAGCTCGAATTTAAAGTTAAACATATTGTGAATTTGAAATATAAATTAGATTTAATTATTTTCTTATTTACTTAAAAGATATGTTTTTTTATTTTTTATTTTTTAAAAAGATTTGTTATAAGCAATAAGCATGCTTTAAATTTATCCAGGGACATAAACTTGGTCAACGCTTATATACTAAGCTAGATCATAAATATCATTTAGTAAATGACGTATCACACTTCTTAATTTAAAAATGAAGATCCGTGCTAACCACATAATGCCGTATCTCGCATACACGCACGCTTACAAAGAATGCATAAGAGACGTGAATACTCATAATTGATGCCGGTTAAATCCCATCAATCTGGACTAGCAAGTTGAGTAATAGCAATCTTTATGTTAGTTCCTTTCTGACCTGTGTAAAACGAGGGACCATGAAATCCTTGTCCTTCAAAATT